GGAGGGAGATCTGTCTTTGTCTGAATCATCCAGTTCTTGTCTTTTTTTTTTGTTCTCTGATTAGTAATATTTGATCTGTTTTATGTTCTAAAATCAAGTAGTGGTAGTGGAATTGGTGTCTACTTCTCCAAATTTTTTTTTTTTTTACTAATCCGATTTGGGAATCTTGAAATAGATCCGTACAAATCTTCTTGTTGGGTTCTTGATTTATCAAATTCATTAAAAAAAAAAGTTTCAAGAAATGGTTAAGCTTTGAATCTTGATTCTAAATCTTGAATTTATGAAATTAAGGGATCTTTTTTGTGTTACAAAGATCTTTTTTTTTTTTATTCTCTGGATCAAACTTTGCTACTACTACTATATGTTTATGATGATTGATTTGCTTCTGTGTAAAGCTTATATGAAGTTCCTCTCTTTATCTCTAGTGTTGTGTTTCTTGCTCTTAAGCAATTATACATAAACAAAATGTGACACATAATTGTTCTTGTATTGATCTTATTCATTTTTAATTGAAGAAGAAGAAGTGATTTTGGTGAACACACAAAGGAATTATGGGTACTCACATCAATTTCAGCAACCTAGGCAATGATTCTTCAAGAGGGATTGAGAGTAGTAATAACCAGTCAAAGCCATTGGTGAGTCATTCTTCGTTATATTCCTTAACATTTGATGAGCTTCAAAGCACATTAGGTGAACCAGGGAAAGATTTTGGGTCAATGAATATGGATGAGTTACTCAAGAACATATGGACTGCTGAGGAAACTCAAGCCATTATGACTAGCTCGTCTTCGGTTGCAGCAGTCCCGCAGCAACCACCTAGTGGTTTTGTTCCGGGAGGTGGTAATCTTTTGCAGAGGCAAGGCTCGTTGACGTTGCCTAGAACGCTTAGTCAGAAGACGGTTGATGAGGTCTGGAAATACTTTATGTCTAGAGAGAGTGGTAATGGGAATAGTGTGGCGACGGATGCTGCGCCTGAGAGGCAACAGACTTTAGGGGAAATGACTTTGGAGGATTTCTTGGTCCGCGCTGGCGTTGTGAGAGAAG